GGGCCAATTGTGTCAATGTTTCTCTGTGTCATGGTAGTTCTCAATGAAGCAGCGGTGGCCGGCCTGAGGGCTGGCATGCAACAGTGCTCACTGCCGTGTGGCTTCCGGTGCACCAGAGCCCCTCCTCCCAGGTGCCTGTTAGGCTGGGGGCCGGCCCAAGGGCCAGCACTCCCTGCCCTGTGGCCTCCCGGGCACCAGGGGCCCTCCCTCCGGAGGCCTACGAGGCAGGAAGCCTGCCAGCCAGAAGACCGGCGCTCCCCACCCGTGGCTCCCTGTGCGCCGGAAGCCCTCCATCTGGGGACCTATGAGGCCGGGAGTGAGCCGCCGGTCCAAAGACCAGCGCTCCCCACCCGAGGCTCCCCGTGCTCTGGGGGCCCTCCCTCCGGGAGCCTTTTCTTTTCTTTTTTTGAGATAGAGTCTCACTCTGCAGTTCAGGCTGCCCTTGAACTCACTATAGGTAGCAAAAGCTGGCTTCAAACTCATGGTAATCCTCTTGCCTCATCCTCCTGAGTGCAGGGATTACAGTTGTGCACTTCAATGCCCAACTCGGACCTACTGCATGTTTATCTAACTCTACTTACCATGAGAATGCAGGCAAATCAGTTATCCTCTGTTCCTCATGTCCTCATCTATAAAATGAGGTTAATAATACTGAGTTCATGAGGTTGTGAGACTGAAACAAGATAAAGCACCAACAGGGGCTGAGGGCAGATGGCTCAGTGGCAGAACATTGCTAGCATGTTCAAGGCCCTGGTAAATTCTCTAGCACTGTAAACAAAACAAAACAAAATCCCAGCTGCATATGGTGGAACACGCATATAATCCCAACATTCTGGGAGGATGAGGCAGGAGGATCACAAATTTGAGAACAGCCCATGCAATTTAGTGACTTGGTGAGACCCTGTCTCAAATAATTAAAAGGGCTGGACATGGAATTGTGAAGACTGGGTTCAATACCCAGTAGCACAGTAAATAAAGTAGTAAAACACAGCAAAAACTCAAAACAGGGGCTAGGGATATAGCTCAGTGGCATAGGTGCCTGCCTGGCAAATGCAAGGTCGTGAGTTTGATCCCCGGTACCACACACACACACACAAAAAAAAAAAGAACTCAAAACATTTTATTATAAGTACTGTTACCTGAGGAAGGGTGATGAAGCCCTTGGCTTCCTGTTGGGATCTGACCCCAAGTTACAGATTGGTTGGAAGGTCCCCAGATATCTAGGCCAAGAAAGGAGGACACGTGTGGCCTCTCATCATTCTGGGAAGCCAAGGCAGGCTAGGATTCGAACACACATCCTAGCTCCCCATCAGCAAGTGTTCCATCCTCCTCTGGTTCTTTTCCCACCCAGCCACTGCCCAGGAAGGGTTGGCTGTTCTGCAACCTCCTTCTGCTTCCTCTGCCTTCCTCCCAGATTCTAGAACTACAATGGAAAGAGGATCTGGGCAGTGGCCCTACTGAGGAGTTGGTCCTGGAGGGAAGATGGCTGAGATCAGGCCTTAGCAGTATCAAGTGGATGGGTCTGGGAAAAACAAAGTATAAACATCCTTGGGCGGGGGTGTGGCTTTGCTGAACTCTTACTTAGCACTTTTTTCTTTTTTCTCTCTCCTTCTCTCTTTTTTTTTTTTCTTTCTTTTTGTCTTTTTGAGACAGGGTCTCACTATGCAGTTCAGGTTGGCCTTGAGCTCACTTTGTAGCCCAGACTGGTCTCGAACTCTGCAAGGATCCTCCTGTCTCAGCCTCCAGAGTATTGGGATTATAGGTATGCACCTCCACGTCCGGCTTCTTTTTCTTTTCTTTTGCTCTTCTTCTTTCTGTTGCCTCCTACTCTTGAAACCTTGGGTTCAATTCCAGGCACTGGAAAATAAAAACAAAAAACCCATCCTCTTTTTTCCCTTTCTGCCTTTGAGGAATCCTAGCTTTGGAAGCTGAGGAGGAGGAATGGAGAGGTGTGGCGTATGGAATGTTGGTGAGGCTGCTCTAACGCCTTCACATTGTCCTGTAATTTTTTCCATCTCTGCACTTCACGTCACTGGGCCTCTCAACCTTACTTTGCACAATATGGGGGCTGTTAATGTGTGAAATGCTCACGACAGTACTGGTATTTGTGTGGCATGAGTTGTGGGGAGTTCTGTGGTTTTTGGGTTTTTTTTGAGACAGGCTCTTACTGTATGTAGTTCAGGCTGACCTCGAACTCACTGTGTAGCCCAGGCAGGCTAGGAACTCGCGGTGATCGTCCTGCCTCAGCTTCCCAAGTGCTGGGATTGCAAGTGTGTGTTACCACATCCTGCTGCAATTCCTTGTTCTGCAGGTGTGTGTGTGTGTGGGTGTGCCCATTGCATTAGGTCTGTAGGTGATGAGCGGATTTTCTGTGACCTGTGTGTTACAACATGAAAAGTGTGTATGGTGTACTTAAAGAGTGTGAGGTTTGTGTTAGTGGGATAAAGTTAACTAGGAAGGCAGCCGGCCTTGCTGTCAGGAGAGGAAAAGCCAGGGGAGAAATCAACAGACTACTGGGCAGTGCGGTCTCTAGGACCTGGGAGGGAACAGTGAGGGGGTGGTGCCGGGGTGGCACAGGGCGGCTGGGAGCCACCGTGTCCTGTTGGGAGAGAGATCAGTCACAGCCCCGCGGAGGGAAAGGCCTGTGGGCGTAGAGACTGCGGGCTCCCGCCGGAGCCTGAGCTACCCGGGAAGCGGGCGGTTCGACGGCGGGGTCGGGGGCCTTAGCTCATTCGGCGGGCGCACGCGATGGACTCAGCGATGCAGCTCGCAGGCGGGGACGGTCCGAGAATGGCCGGGGCGGGGCCGGGGCGGGGCCG